CATGAGCTTACGCTAGTGTGACTCGCGGCACTCAAGGACAAACAGATAAGGGTCTCAGCTGACAGGTACGTATAGTGCGTGGACCTGCAAGAAGACCACACTTTTCTCGGGCCATTATCTCCGTAACCGTTCAACTTTGGACATAGGTGTTTTGGGTTATATCGGCATACTTTAACATAAGGAACACCCTCCCGAAGTTTGGTCCATTCCTCCTGGGACACCCTGTATATATATTCTGCTTGATATTGAGTATGGGTCTGAAACTGGGTCTGTCAGTTTAAAGAAATAACATTGCCTGAGGGTGTTTGAGAAAAGAGTACTAAGGAGAATATTTAAACCTATGAAGGAGTACATAACATGAGGCTTGAGAATATTACATAATGAGGAGTTTCATAATTTTTACTCCTCAACAAATCAAGAAATAGAGATAGATGAGGCATGTAGTTTTAATACATCTAAAGGAATGAGACTACTTGAAAGACTCAGGCATTAATGGGAGGATAATAATAAAATGGATCTTAAGGTAGTAGGGTAGGAGGGTGTGGTCTGGATTCACCTGGCTCAGGATATGGACAAATGGGGGATCTTGTGCTCATGGTACTGAATCTTCAGGTTCCAAAAAGTGTTAGGAATTTCTTGACTAGCTGAACAGCCATTACCTTTTAGGGACTGATTCTACTCCAAGGAGGGAGTCAGTTTGGGTTTATACAACAGGGTCTCAGTTATCCAATTTATAGATTTACTACTATATGTTTAAATACTGCAGCAGTCTCAAAGAAATTATTTTTTTTGTGCCTCTCTTATATTTTTAGATGTTTGAATATTTCTGTTCTGTGATGAAGGCTTATGAATTTCTTATGGAAAAGTTCACAGTTATTTCCAATGAGTTATTTGTTTTAAACGCTACCTACAAGTACAAATGCACATCTTGAAAGAAGTTTGAATGATGATAGTTAAATATACAGACTTTCTTCTTAAGAACTGTCATTTTGGTTAAGAGGACTGCCTGAGATTTTCTGGAGCTCCCTAATTTACAAACAGAAAATTTCCAGTTTGTTGAAGAAGTGCTGTACCATTATTGAAGATTAATACTGTATAATCATTCATGTAAGTGAATATTATATGAAATCAACATTAACTATTTCTGTTCTACACAAATTACAATACTGTGTTCATGACTGAAATTCAATTCCCTATCCTTTGACAACTTACCTATCACACCACCTCCTCCCCATTTGGTATATTCATCAGATACATCTATATATATAGGCTGCTTAATATTTGAGACCTGTGCATCCTGTATATATGCAGAGATACTGCAAAATGAAGACATATCCACATCCGATGGCTGCCACACCACAGATGGAAAGTGTGGTGCAAAGTATGCCACATGCTGACCAGTTCCAGATGAAATTTCAAGACAGTGATAAATGCAGTCCTCTTTACTAGTGGCCTGAATGTAAGGTGATAAGAAATTCTTTAGGACTTGAAGAATGGGTTCCTTGTTACGTTCAGCAGCAGAAATGACTTGTTTGTAGGACATGGATTGAGACCTATAAAACACAAAGTTTATTTTGACTGTATTTATCCATTACTTACAGTATGCAACAACCAGGAATACCATTAAGTTGTGTAATTATTTATTAGTCATACACTCACTACCATACACTAGACATCCTACTTATTAATTCATGACACATGTCTCACCTACTATGTAGTCTTTTTCATGTGATTAAATGCATTGCACACCTACTCTGTAAGTTGGTATAGTGTTATTTACATTGTAATATTTTATAAAGAGTTTAAAATAAAAACTATTGTTCAACTCAACACTATAATATTTTATATTCTAAATTGGGTTGCTTCCTTTTCTTATTGCAACTGTGGTGGGTCTGTATTCTGTTTTTGGAGCTGGTCTTTCCTGTTACTTCTTAGTATAATGCTTCTTGGTATTGTCTGTATGTAGCATAAATCAGGACTGTAAATATGAGGGATACTCAGAAAGAAACCTCATGTGAGCTGTTGAAGCAAGATCAGGGCTGTAAGCGGGTGGTCAAAAAACTCCCATTTCAAGTGTGAGCAGCTGTATGTCAATGAGCACTCCACCCATTTTGTTCTGAATGTCCCTATGCAGTTTTTTTAGTGTTTCACAATATACTTCTGACATTACTGTGATCTCTTGTTGCACATATTCCACAATCAGCATTCCTATCCTGCCCCAGAGAACAGCTGTCATCAGCACTCTGGCAGATGTTTGGTGAATGTGTGTGCATTCACTGCTTTACTGCTCTTTGGTTTCAAAATTCACAAATGAAATGCAGGTTTTATCACCTGTTACTCATATGATGTGCATGAGAAATTCATTACCAACTTTGTGGTATCGTTCTAAAACAACCAAAGCCATTCTCTGTTTTGTGTGCAACTGTGAGCATTTTTGGAACCCATCTTGTGCAAAACTTATAACAGCCTAGCCTAGCTGTTATAATCTCATAGAGAAGAGTGAATGAAATTTGTGGAAATTCACATGAAAGTTCTGATATTGTGAAGTGCCGTCTTTCACAAATTTTTTGGTCAACACATTGAAAAGATCATCACTCAATACAGATGACCAGCTGACCACTTTGCTCTTCATTGTGAACATTTGTTTGCCCGTCAATCTTTGAACATTCTACACTATTGTCTTTTGGTTCCTTCATTCATTGCATTTTTGCTGTAAACCTCGCATAATTCACAATGGATTTCCACAGCACTCATGTTTCTAGCACAAAGAACATAACGGCGCAAATTTCACAGCTGGCAGGATTATCAATAGCGGGACACATCATAACTAACTCTGCAGAGACAAGAACAAACACTTTGTGAGCAGTCACATGATAGTTTACAAGGCAATGAGTCATGTGGTGCTACATAACATGCATGAATTCTTCCCACTCATGCATTACTTGCCTATAATAAACGGCGGTTACTTTCTGGATAGTCCTCGTAATTTTTGAAACCTAACACTGAATATGTCAGTCTCTGACTTTGTCATTTCAAAGAGAAAGATAACTTTCATACAACGCACTAATATTTATAATTTCATAACACACTAAATTTTTCATGCACCTTACAATAATTCATAAGTTATTGTAATGAAATAGAAAGCAAGAGCGCCTCATGTTATTTGCTGTTGAGATGTTAGTGAACTGTAATCCAATTTTTCTATCTTCTATGACTTATTTTTCTGTAACATTTCTGAATCTTTTAAGAAATTGTGGTGGTTCTGTACCCACACAAATGTTTTTCCAGCTGTCATCTTCATACTGCCAATAGGATAGAATTACTACATATAACATGAAGGTGAATCCCTGTGACATGAACACTTCATTGGCTCAAAAGACCATAATACCAATGAAAAGCCAGATGGACAGACATTAGCAACTTTCAGGTGACAAAGCAAAGTTACATGCAACAAAGTATGACACGCAGTACCTCTGAGAAGCTGAGTTGCTTTGTAAATTCAATGTGAAATGGATGGCCACACGAAGAAAAGTTCTGCCTGGAAAAGAAGAGCCATGTAAAGAAACAACGACTTTCTAGCATACATTGCACATCTTTTAGTTTTAGGCACTCAGCAGCAGTTCATTAGCATGCCATGTGATCACATCTTAGAGTTCTGTTGCTGATGACAAAGACTCAGTTACCAACATGACATTGTCCCTGAATTTCATAATCCAGGAGGATCTAAACTTCTTCTAGCCCTAAAAATGTGTACTCCTGACTCTTTCTCCACAGATAATGATGGCTGGAATGTAAAACAGACCACTAACTCTTTCATTAGTGAAAAGAGAGTGCATATTCTTTATCTGGCTCATAGGCTGGTGCTAGGTACTAGGATACAACTTAAATGTAATGTTCTACCTTCTGGAACATAACATCATGTAGTGGTTAGAACTGTTCATAACCACTGCTGTGGGACCCTCAAATCCTGTACAACTAAAAAATGTGGTAAATGCATACTGGAATCAGACCTAAATGGGCTGTGTATCTGTTTGAAGGCACATATCTGTTCCATTTCATAAAGTCCTCATTTTACAGACATAGTACTGTGTATGTCTAATTACAATTAAGTGCAATTACTGTGATAGATGTTACTTAAACATTAATCTGATGGCTCTGGTATACATTTCCCATATTAGTTATGTAATGAAAAAATTTATTTTTTACAATCTTCATGAAATAAAATGTATTCTTTAAGAAGCATATACTTCTATTAATCAGAGAAGAACAAAGAAAAAATAGTGTCACCTGATTTTATTTATGGTTTATTTAATAATACTGTCAGTCATACAAACAAGTAGTGAATAATAAATTAGAAGCATGTCAAAGTGGTACTGGTCTAGTTTCAGTTACTATCCTGCTGTTTCCCTAGAGGGCCTGAGTAGAACTATGAAAAACCTCAGCCATTAACAGCCAGTCTCTGAGCTGCGACTAGTGATATCTCGCAGAAAATATTCCTCGTGCGGACTCAAAACTGAAAGTCAAGCTTCATACATTGTGTAGTGTGACCAAATGTGGAACTGCTGGGCTACACCTAAGTTCATGTGGAGTGCCAGTCTGCAGCACTTCCACAGCCGCTCTGATGTATGTTTTCAATGACTGCATTTAGATGGAATAATCACTATGGTGTGAATGCAATTGTGACCTATTGGAGGAATCAGAATTTCTTTGGGAAAAATGAAGAAAAGAATGAAACTTGTCTGTCAGTACAACTAGTCTCTGGGCTGCCTCTCAAACCTCAAAATTTCACTACATTTTGAACATTCTTCACTATCTCAAAATCTCATACAAGTGTGAAGTTTCCTCTGTGCACCACACCATGAAGATGTATGGGCAAGTCTAATTATAGCACTGTGCATATTTAATCTTGTCAGCAGATGCAGATAGGCAGTCAACTTCATGCAGCAATCACTCTACCCATGGGAAAAGACCACTAAATATGAGACGGAGAGAGCTCCAAAGTTAGTCTAAATGCTGTACAGAACAGACAAAACTCAACCCTTTAAGGAACTGAAGCCCAGTTCCTTGATTGCTGCATGTAGTTTAGTCACTATACTACCTGAAATCCCATGTATAACTACATTAATGAGCATGAAAATGAACACACACACAAACACAGTACTGAAGATGTACTGGGAATACAAATGATGGTGGTGCACATATATGTCTAAACAACTTAGAATTAGTGCCACACTTATGCAAGTCATTATGTTTATATTATGTTCTCTTGCATTACCACACCATGCAGTCTGCTTTGTGGTTACCAACATCCTGCTTACATGTTACACTATAAAGAGGAAGTATTTTGCCCCAAAACACCTACCATACTTCCTGGCGTAATAACCCACAAGAAAACAATATGAATCCTCACCATTGATACCTAGACAACACGTAAATACTGTTGTGTACATTAATTACAATATTCAAAGGAATAAAATGAAAACAAACAAATAATTTTATTTCAATTTACAATTTTATTCCCTGTAATTAACAATGGCATACAAATTGAATTTCACAAAGATTTATGAGATTAGAATCACAACCTGAATAAAACACAAACTCCACAAAGGAAATTCAGGAGACCCAAATATTTTGACTTTACACTATATAGTTTTCTTCATTTCCCTTTACAGATCATATTGTATCACTGACATTCATGTTTTATATGTTACAGATGTACATAAGATTCTTCCATGCAAGGACTATAAAAAACATATTTCACCTGAAACAATGCTCACCCTGTGTAAATTCCACTTCTTTTTACAAAATCTGCCTGCTTTAGGTGTGTTGAAACTCTAAATTCAAATATATTTTTAATATATTATTAATGCTTCACCTTATTAGTACACATTTTCTGGGAACACATTCTTTTGGTGATGTCTGTTTGCTTTATATAAATTGTAAGTACTATTGCATGTCAACATCATAATCTCATATCACAGATGAAAAGCGATCTGTGAAGATTTCTTGTATGTGGCTAATTCTTCATCTAGGGCCGCGCCATAGCTGAAGCGGTTAGTAGCTGGCTTCCCACCGTGGTGGCACGGGTTCGATCCCAGGTCTGGTCAAGTGGGATTTGTGGTGGACAAGGTGGGGCTGGGGCAGGTTTTCTCCGGGTACTTCGGTTTCCCCTGCCAATCTTCATTCCACCAATTGTTGCACAATCACACTCACCTATCATCTGGGGCTGGTACAATAAGCCAGAAGTGGCCACAGTACAAGAGACTTAGTCCCACCCCACTAGCAATAAAAAAAGAATTCTTCATCTATAAAAGACATTTTTTCAACTATACTGATAACATAGGATGATTTGTGACTGATGAATAAGTAAGGATGTGGACAGAAATACCATTTGTAAAACCCTGATAAACCTCAAACAGAAGAGCACATCCCATCAAATTCTGAACCCATCATTCCTAAATATGAAGTACAAGTGCAAGCCACTTGACTGAAATGCTCAGTCTATTGGCACTTTTAGTATAAATTTTCAACACAGGACTTGTGTCAGTGATGTATCCTGTGTGCTGCTTGTACAACGTGAACATTGTTTACAGAGGCCTTAAAGATCTGATTGCCCACTAGCAGCTGTATTAGCAATGGAGGTGAACAATCTTTTGAGGTAATGAACCTTAGTTAAAAAAAAAAAAACTCTGATAGGCAAGAAAATATTTCAATTACATTTTTTTATTACTGTCTTCAAAATTCCTCCTCATAGAGATTCAACAGTGACCTGTAACATTCTAAACCAGTAACAATAAGCAGAGGAACATATAAATCTAAATTAAACCCAAATTTTAATTACAGCATACTTAAATCAAAAGCACTGGACGGAGAGATGATTGGCCCTTTGGATCTGGCTCACTGTCAAACTCAAAAACCGATATTACACATCAACCACTTGCTGCTTAAATTTTAAGGATGGACAAGAAATGGTGATATACTGTAATGTTTGCCACAGACTGAACTAATTTTCGAAAATTCACTACATTAATCTTTCACATTATGACCTTCAAACTTTATTTCTCATTCACAATATCATTTTAAATAACATAATCTGGAAGCAACAAATATGTTTACTGAGCTGTTACCTAGTAATGGGTGTCTTCTATGACTAAACTATTCTGACTTTCAGTATCCATGTCACAATACCAAATAACTAGAAATTACAATTTCCTTCGCTGAAATGACATGAGAAATTGAGTCCAGTTACTTTTAACTTAAGAATGTGCAAAAAATGTATATTTAATGTAACTCTTATGATTCAAAATGTGGGCCTCTCTATTTATTACTAACAGCAGCTGCTATCATTTGTCCCATTATCAAATTATGAAGGCAGTGGCTCTGTACATAAGTGACACAGAACAATAAGGGGCACTGAATTTTAATTTAATTTGGAGAAACTGCTTATACTAATACCATCTACTTCATTTAATCTTCTTTGCCTTTCCTTTTACTCTATCTTCCACTCTATCCTTAGTTGCACCTGCCAAACGAGGGATGAACACTGAATGGCCAGTTTTCTTAAGATGATCAAACAATTTATTCTTAGATGGAAATTCAGAGCTACATGTAACACAGCAATGATTCAGATCTCTGACATAATCAGTACTACCACTTCCATCTTTCTTGCTACTCTTTTTCGCCCCCTTAGCTTTCTTATTCTTTATCTTAACTTCATCACCTTTTCCTTCTACCATTATTTTATCGGCAACTTCCTTCCTATTATTAACTTCCCTTTCCTTTGATATTTTTACTTTCATTCCCTTTCTTATGCCTTTAGTTTTCTTTCTTTCAATTTCATGTGCAGAAGTACCAAAATCTTCAGCTCCCTCCTCCATGGCAATATTGTCCGCATCAATATTCTCAGTCTCACTTTCATGGTTGGCATCAGATGATGTATTCTGCTGTGACTGCATCATGTGCTGCTGCTTTTTACGTTGTTTCTTAGACCATCCCGAAGACATCTGAAATTCAATATCTGAAGCACTGTCATCAGTAACACTACATATATTTGGTATCCTCTTTTTGGTTTTCTTTTTTGTCTGACTTTCTACAAATTCTGATTCTTCTGATTCATCTTCAGAATTTATATCAGAATCTGATGAAAGTTCATTTACAGAGGTAATTTCTGAAAACTCATAAGATGGATCTTCAACCGTCTGTTTACTTCCTGACACAGCCAGCTCATCTTCTTCCACTACCGATGCTTTCAAAACTTCAACACTGTTCTTATGTTTTTTAGAGTTCTCATGATTTGAAAATGCTCTCTCAGTTCTGAAAACTTTGTTACATGCAATGCAGTATAATGAGTTTACACTTTCGTCCATTACTTCTTCCCTGTCATTTACAGATTCTCCACATAAAGATACATCACTGTCGCCAAACTCTGCTGCAAGATTTGCTTCAATTGCCTCAAGTTCTTTTTCAATATTTGAAAACTTGGTCCATTCTGATTCTTTATAATTTTTCATTGCTTCTTGTCTTTCCTTTATGTGCTTCCTTCTTCGTTCTTCTGCTTTCTTCACGTTTTCTGCTGCATGTTCTTCCAACAATTTTACAAAAGACTGGACTCGTTTATCCCTCTTGCGAACAAATGCCACCAAGTTTCGAACCTCCTCATTTCGTTGTTTACGTGCTTTATCACGGACTTTCTTGTTTTCCTTCTCTGCTGCACGCACCACACGCCTGTTTAGAGCATCTCTGATATTATATGGATCTAACCAAGCATATGATTTCTTTGTAGAATAACTCTGCCAGTATGCATAGAATGGATGTACTACATCTTCATAGGAACTCATTGAGTCTCCAAAGCTTGGTACTTCAAAATCACTATCCTCATCTGTCATATATTCTGAATCTTCAGCTGCCAGTTTATTGAACACCTCCCTATACACTGCATAAAAGCCATTTTCATCATCACCATAACCTTTGAAACATGTAGGTGTGAAGTAACGAAATACATCAAGACTATCATCCTTATAATCGCTTCCAGCTCCTCTGAGAATGGATTCCCTGTGAGAATCATACCATGACCGTTCATGGGGGTCACTCAATACCTCATATGCTTGTTGCACAAGTTGGAACTGCTCCTTGGCCTCTGTTGCACTATTAGGATTTTTATCTGGATGCCACTTTAAAGCTTGTTTCCTGTACGCCTTTTTAAGTTCATGGTCATTTACATCTTTCGGAACACCTAGAACTTCGTAATAACACTTCATCTTATTACACTGTCAAAGTAATTTCGCAATATTGTATATAGACTAATCCTACGACGTGGTCAAAGCGTCAAATGTCAACAAACTATAGGCTGGACGGCGAAATAACCTCACATTTCACAAGTCTTATAATTATTTTTCACACTAATACTTGGCACCACGTTATAAGTTAATAATATACCTGCTAAATATATCCAACATTACAAAACATTAATCAACATGGCATTACTGAAAAAAAAACGGTATTTTTCTCCATAGTCACTTAAACCTTTTCTTTATTTTTAATACGTCAATCATGTAATTCGTACCAGTAAAGTCTTCCTTACCTAATTTAAATGCTCACTGATTTACACACCTATTTTACCTATATTATTATTTCCTACAACTTCGTATTTACTTTTCACTTCCATAGCATATTTATACCTACACGACCGGCGGAACAAACAGTGGTAAGTATACCACTAAACAATAGAAGTACTAAAGCAACGACTAGAGTGACATTCATTCAAAAATTAAAATAAACAAACTTAGAAAAATCACGTTATCATTTAGCTCAAAGTATTTCGCATCCTCGTTTTCTTTTCAAAAAATTAAACGTATAAAATTATTACAGTACCATTTAGTTTGGGTAGGTGGGAAACGTGGGATATAAAGCCTCCGATTCGGGGGTGAAAAATGAAAGTTGTTCGAAAATACAGCTGTGAACCAAGTGACAAAGAGGTTCATATTCGTGACATTCCTGACTTCCTGACCGTTCGTGACTGAACAAGGCAATACATGATGTGTATGCTTCATCAAATATTTCTGGGATTGTTTAAATCAAGGTGAACCGGCCAAAAGGGAAGAAACCAAAATTTCCACCAGGGCCCTTATCATCCCATATTTTAAAAATCAAAATTTCCTTCCATTGCATCATGTATTACTGCTCAAACAGTGATGTCATTGTCAGAACACAACAGAATTTACTTACATTCCATTGATCCTCCATCAGCCTAAACCAAGGATGTGGAACATGTCAATTTTTTCTTGTCCTATATCATGTATAATGATCCATGGATATGAAGTAAATAAATAAAAATAAATAAAAAATACAAATACAGTACACTTGGTCGTCGACTTACATTTACGACCACAAAAATATTATTAAACTGAAAAAGTTTTTAAAAATAAATTATAAAGATGATAAAAAGATTAGAACGATTAAAAACACTGTTAATAAATATATGGCTGACATATTACCAGATCGACTTACGACCTGTCAGTCAGAACGTAAGTTGGTCGTAAGTCGACGACCAAGTGTACTTGTTTCCAACACAAATACAAAATACAGAGTGGTAACAGCTATTTGCCTACTTGCATTCCATGTTATAATACTGGGAAATCCTCCCCCCCCCCCAAC